TATCGGAGCCAGACTGGCTTGGATGAGTCACAGACTCACTGGGACTTTTGGGTAAGCCTCAATTCCATGGGCAGAGTTGACCTTTCTCGAGGGGTTACAGTGAAGGTGAAGTGAACTCAGGCATGCAAAGCGCCCAGCCCCAGGCCCGCAGCTGCGGTTACCCAGGTGGAGCGTGAAGGCAGCCCACTGGCGCGCACTGGCCACGAACGCCCCGTCCTCCACAGAGAGGTAGCGCGTGGACACCGTCTGGGAGCGCAGGCGGTTGAAGAGGGAGACTTTTGAGCCCGAGGATATGCACACTGTGAGGGGAGGTGAAATCAGCACCCAAGCCTGGCTTGGTTCTTTGTACTTGCCAGACAATTTCTGGTCCTCTGTCCCCTGTGTCAGTCCCCTCCTATGCTCACTGGCCTAGACACACTGGGCCTATTTCATGGTCATTTACCTAGTACCTGCTGTAGTCCTGCTTTTGAACTTTGGCCGGTTCATTTGTGCTGCCCGGGCATCCTTCAGTTCAACAAATAATATTACCAAGCGTTCACCAAGTGCTTACTTTTGGGCAGGCACTGTGCTGGGTACTGGGCACCAAAGGGTGAATCAGACCCAGTTTTGCTCTGGAGGACTTCACATTCTCAGAGAGGAGGGGCCTAAATATAAAATTTCAAAATGATGTGGTAAGGGGTGGGTGAAGGAGGGCTTCCTGGAGGAGGTTATACTCTCAGCTGGGGAGCAGGAAGTAGGTAGGAGTTGTTCAAGGCCTGCATAAGCAAAGACCATGTGGTGTGAAACAGCAGTGTGATATTTCTAGGGCTTGACCCTGATCTCTTCCAGCTTATCACACATACTCAGAGCCATGGTTTTGTTTTCTGACTGAGCTTTGACCACCTGGGGAGAAAGCACTGGGTCATCTCCCTCTCTCCCCTCCCAGTGCTAGGCATACTGTAGGTGCTCAATTTATACTTAGTCCAAGTTCCCATCCATTGGATAATGATGATAGCTAACATTTGTTGTGTGTCAGGTACTGTTTTAAATGCTTCATATGTGTTAGCTCATTTGATTCTCTCAACAGTGCTCTGGGGCAGATATTATCTCTATTTAAGAGAACAACTTGCTCCATATCGCAAGGCTGGCGAGTCAGGATTCAAACTCAGGCCACCTGGCTTCAGAATCTGAGCTCCTAACCATCACACTCTAGCACTTACCTGATGCCAAGGGCCAGACAGAGTACTGCCTCAGTCTGAGACGTTCTACGGGGTTTTCAACAGACAGAAGGTAAATATGATGTAGGGGTAGGACCTGGGCTCTGGAGGCATGCTGACTCAAGTTCAAATCCTGGCTGGGTCTCTTCCTAGCTGGGCAATCTTAGCCAAGTCATCTGGATGGTGATAAGCCCCAGGAGTTCATTAAATGAATGGGTGAATGTTCCAGACCTCATTTTCCTCATCCCTGACGTAAGAACAATGATAGTACCCACTTCAGAGGGACCTGATGAACATCAAATAGGATGATTCTTGTTCATGTCGGCCAGGAAAGCTCCACCTTCCCCTAGGTCTTCCTCCACCTCCCTGCCGGGGTAGTGGTGGTGTCCTCACTGTTATTCAGGCCCTGCCCTGTCCCCCTGCCCCCCATTCTCAAAGCCTCCAGCCCTGGGATTTGTCACTTGGCACCCAGGGCAGTATTTATTTCAAACTGTCTCTTTGATAAGCGATGTGTGTCTTTCTCCCCTGCTAGGCTGTGGGTTCCTCCAGAACAGACACTTGTCCTTACTTTACAGGGACCCGGCATCCAGCACAGAGCCAGGCCTACATCAGGCACTGAATAGGTATTTTTGACTAAATTTCCGTCACTTTTAATTTGTCTTTAGCTCAGCACCTGCCGGCCATTTTTGTCCGCTCTGGACGCCCCCTCCCGCCGCCTTTCCCAGGGTCTGGGGTCGGTCCCCTTTCCTCTCTGCGCTTGCTTCTCTAGCTTCTCATTCTCGGACCTCAGCCGCACCCGCTCCCCCAGACCCCGCCCCTCTCTCGGCTCAGACTCCACCTCTCCCACTCTGGCCCCACCCCTCCAGTCTAGGCCTCCGCCCTCCCCAGTTCCGCAGCTCCACACCAGGTGGCACGTCCCCGCCCCGCCCGGTGGCCACGCCCCGCCCGGCTCACGGTCGGTGTTTTTCAGCGACTGCTTCTTCTGCGAGGGCTTCGAGATGACCTTGATGAGGCGGCTGTGGAAGGTGCCCAGCTCTCGGCCCCCTCGGTGCACCAGCCGCAGCACCAGCCGGAAGTGCTTCCTCTTGTCTGCGTCCGAGATGTACAGGGTCTTGGCGCAACCGAATTCCTACGGGGGCGCGGGCGCGGGGCCGTCTCATCCCAGCCCTCCGCCACCAGGTCTTTGACGTCTGCCCCATCAGACGTGACGTGAAGCAGCACGATCCCAGCTCCCGGGCTCACCCTCGAGGCAGAACCCCGGTCCCCCCCGCCTCTCCACCTATCGCTTGGCGTCTTCGGGGGTGAGGGCGTGTGTAAAGGAGCCCTCCTCGCCGAGGGAGGGGCAAGGATGGGAGCAAGAATCGGACCGTGTCCCGTGCGCTCTCACCCTGGAGTCCGGCTGCTCTTCAAAATTCAACTTTTGCGTCTCGGCGGCGCTGCCGGACGCGCCGTCCAGTCCCATGTAACCGCAGACCGTGGGCCCGGTTTCCCCTGCCTGGTGGGCTGGAAAGGGACGCGAGCGGGCTCAGGAAGGACTCAGGCGGCAGACAAGCTGAGTTCTCGCCGCCAGAGGGCGCGGCGAGACTGCGCCTGCGACCGGCCCAGCTGCCAGGCCCCACTGTGCGGTCCCCCAGCCTAGGGAGGCGCCCGGCAGCCCAGGAGTCCGCCCTCACCTTGGCCCTGCACTGGCTTCACCCTCCAGCCGGGACCTGCGAGGTAGACACAGGGCGGGGGGCAGAAGAACCTGCGGAGACATGCAAGCAAGCGCTGGACTCGCACGTCCATCTCCACTTGACCGTCCCTAGACATCTCAAAGGCAGCATAAATGGGGCAGAGTCCCTGATTGCTCCTCCACTTTTCCCACTGCCCTCCCGGGGCTTCTTCATGACTGTGGACCCCATTAACATCTGAACCTTCTTTTATCATTGCCTTCACTCAACCCATTAATCAGTCCTCTCTCCTCCACATTCAAAACACATCCAGAATCCACGGGTCTCACCACCTCCACCTTAATCCCAACTGCCATCACTTTTGCCTGGACCACAGCATCAGCCTTCCCACGGCTCTCTCTGCTTCCACCCCGCCCCCCCACCCAACCTGCTTTGCACGAAGCAGTCACACTCTCTTCTTTCTTTAAAAAGCACGAGTCGATCATGTTACTTGTCTTCCTAAAATCCTTCGGTGGTTTAAATCCGAAGTCCTCACCTGATGTAGCCCCTGCTTTACCTCTCCGACTTTATTCCCTGCAACGTCCATCTCCTTTCCTAATTCCAGCCCCTCTGACTTCTTTTGTACCAGGACAGGCCAAGCTGGTACAGCCTCAAGGTGTGTGCATTTTCTTTCTAATTGGAACACACCTTTCCTGGATTTTCTCCTGTCTGGCTTCTCTTTCAGTTCAGATGTCACCTCCTTAAAAGACCTGTCCACCATCGTGACCTTTCTAGCTAACGTGCCCCCACTTCAGTTTCTGCTACATTGTGCTGTTCTATCACTCTTCTAGCTCTTCTCTCGATCTGGAAGGATCTTGTTCACTGAGGGGACTTTGTGGTCTGTCTCTTCCCCACTACAGTGAAGATGCCTTGAGAGCAGGGGCTGTATTTTTCTGGAGCTGTATGCCCAGGGCCCAGCACTGTCCAGAGAGCCTGGCACCTGATAAACACCCACTAAGTAGTTGTTGAATGAAAGAAGGAATGAATGGGTGGGTGAGTGAGGGAGTGGGGACTGTAGATTCACAGGGAGGTTCCAAAGTGGGGGCTGGTGGGGGCTGAGGAAGAAGGCTCCTGATTGGCCAAGAGTTGAGCCCTGAGCCCTCCCCAGGGTTCTCAAAGGCCCCGAACTGGGAGGCAAGCATAGAGTGGAAGGTGGCCGCTTGGAAGGGCTTGGCACTTACCGCTTCTCATTCCCATAGGACTTCTGGGCCACCTTGGCATGCAGGATCCGCACTGTCTGCTCACACTGTTGCCGCAGGCACTGGCGCACGGCTTCCCTCAGCACCGGGACCCGCTCTGGGGAGGACCTGGGAGTGGGGGCAGGCCGGCGGCTGGACAGCAGTGATTGTTAAGGGGAGAGGTGGCATGGAGCCCAACAAGCAGGTTGAATGAAATGCATAGGGGGGAGGGGCTAATGTAGTTCTGCCCCACTCGGGGTCAGGGAGGGGAAGCGTTAGGCAAGAGAGGGGATTTGGGTGTAAGTCATGGGTTAAATATTTAGGCTGCCAGGTACTCAATGAGGCCTGCACGGAGCCCACCAGGACCACCCAGGCGCCACTCCGCAGGCCTGGCGCCATGCCCCACGCAGCCTGCAGCACTGGAGAGAGGCCCCAGGGGCACAAAGGCCACATTTGTGCCGGCCTTGGGATGGAGACTATGTGAGGCTGCATGGTTTCCTTGCATTTTGAGGGGGCGCACCCCAGTGACCTCTTGATGCTGGGGAGAAGAGTTTTGCTGGACCCCCTGGCCCAGAGTGCTCTCTTGCCTGCCCTCAGAAGCCTGGAAACATGGAAGCGCCCCCCAAACCGTGTCCCCAGAACCCAGGGGGAACATTTGAGCCCTTTGGGGTTCAGGGGGGTCCTAACCCCCTTTCTCCCAAGAGAAGGGCCCTGTTCCTGTCGCAGCGTTCCTTCCCTTGCTTACGGGGCCTCCACAATCCAGGGACGGGGCCAGACAGAGCCCAGCGGCCTGGGAGTTTTGAGGAGCGAGGGTGGTGGGTGGGCCCAAGACTTGAGCAATCGCGGAGAGATCGGGTGGAGGAGTCCGCGAGGGCAGAGATTTGAGGGACCACCACGTGGGGCCCGGGAGCCATGAACCCTGCGGCTGCTCTTCTGAACCCTTCACCCTTCGCGCAGGACCAGAGTCCCGGGCCTCTCCTCACTCCCGGAGCGGGCAGCGGAGGGCAGCACCCCGTCCGCGCCCTCGGAAGCGGGGCCAGGCAGCCGGCGGCAGGAGCCAGGCCCCGCTCCGCCCCTTGGGGCTCTACTCCGGGAAGGGCCTCGGAGGCTTCCGACGCATTCCGGCGGCGGAGAGCGGAGCCGCCCAGCCTCCCGCTGGGAGCCGAATTCCGGCCCCGCAGCTCGCGCCGCCGGCTCCCGGGGTGGCAGGAGCAGGGGCGCCGCGCTGGCCCCGCCCCAGCCCTCGGAGGAAAGGGGATCGCTCCCTGCCGGTGGGAGGGGTCGCAGCCCGCGCTCCCCCTCCCCATCGCCAGCCCCGGGTTAAATGCGGCCGCCGCCTCCGCTCGCTCCAGCCGTCTGGCCGTCCCCACCTCGGGCACGCTGCCTGCGCCGTTACCTGGTCCAATTGCCCGGGAGGCTCTGCCCGTCGGCTCCGCTCTGCGGCCGCGCCTCCGAGCTGTCCGGCAGGCTCAGGTGAGTCAAAGGGCCTGGGGGCGCTGAGGGGTCTGCGGGGGGATCAGGCGTCAAGCCAGACCGGGCGACCGTATTTAACCGCGGCTGTGCCACTGACGGTGTCCCCATCTGACTTGCAGCGGCCTTCTTCACTTCTGTGGGGTCCTTTCCAAGTTGAGCCCCCACCAACAAGGCCACCACGGGGAGGGGGACTTTTCCCTTAATCTCCTCCCTCGAGGAACCGCCAAGAACGTCCCCACGGTGTTTATTCTTCAGCCAACTTTGAGTTATTCACAGACCTCTCCTGCCTTTCGAGCCCAGTCTCCCCACTCTCAGGCATTTCCGAATCTTCCTAACTTTAGGATTAACCCCTCAGAGGAGCTGGGGGGGGGGGGCTCTAGTGTCAGACCTGTCACCACGTTGCCGTGTGACCTTGGGCAAGACACTAGTCTCTGGACCTTATTTCTCCCTGCGTGGAACGAGAGGGTTGGGAAGGTGATGGACTTTGAGGCAGTCTCTATTTTGACTCTCTAGGAATCCCGCGGTGGCGGTGCGCGCCAGGCGAGACGTGGGTTCAGGCCGAGAGCAGGATAAGGGGGAATCCTAATCAAGATTTGGGGGCCCAGAGGCTTCTACAGGTGGGAAAGAACAGGAGGTGGCAAAGGCCCCATTGTCCTGACCCCCATGCTCCCCAGAGGTGCTGGCCCTGGCTATGGCCCAAGCTAGGGAAGGCATTCTGCACCCTCCGGTTTCCAGCGGCAGCTGACACATCTGGCTTACTCAACCTCCCACCACCGGCCCTGCCAGAGGGATTTTTGTTCTTCTACCAGGCCTGAAAGGCGAGGGCGGAGAGGATCGGAAAGGCCGCCTGGAGTGAGGGAGCTGCAGGCAGCCGACCTTGCTCAGAATAGGCCCATTCACGGAATTGGGGGGTGGGGGCGGGGTAGAGGGGCTGCGGTTGGGTTAGGGCAGCTGGTCCCCTCTGCCAAGAAACAAGCAACAGAAAAACGGCTAAGGCAGCTTCAGCATGGGGTGGGGGTGGAGCGGGGTACAGAGCAGTGGGAGTGAATGTAAGGAAAAGAGGTTTAGTGACTCCTAGGCGCCAGGTTGCTAGGCAGCCAGGCAGCCCAGAGGGGAGAAGGGGAGCCAGGAGTCCCAGGTTCTAGTCGCAGTTTCCTTTGCAGCTCGGCGGGCAGCCTTCTTGGGCCTCAATTTTCCCATCTGTACATGGGAATCCTTTGGGATTATCAAGGGGCGTCGCCAAGGGCAGTGGAAGAGTGAGCGCTCACCTGTTGCCCGTATAGGGTCCATGGCCGCACTCGGGCCTCACTCACCGCCCTCCGGGCGCATCCAATGCAGCTGTCCCCGGAACCCTGTGCGCCCCTGCTCCTCGGCCCTCGTGCGGGATATATCCTGCCCCGGGCTTATCTCCAAGGCCTCCGGGCTCCTGGCCACTGTTTGCTCTGGGCAGGGGCACCTGCTAGGCAGATGTGGGCTTCCCACGGCCACCCAACCAACGCAGCCAGTCCCAGGAAGACGCCCCCTGGCGGCCTCTCCTGAGAGCAGGAGGGAAACAGAGGTGCCAAACTTGCGTGGTGGGTTTTGGCCTACGTGCTGCGGGTCCCCAACCCCCCAGCCGCGTGAAAGGGCGCGTCTCTCCTGGCGGCCTGAGGCTGGGCGGTGCATGTCTGAGTGTGTGCGTGCGTGTGCGCGCGCGCGTGAGTGTGTTGGAACGACAGCCACATAGAAGCGCCTTGTGTGAGGAGAGGAGGGGGTCGAGGTGGGGAATGGCTGGCTTTCGTCTGCAGACGTTCTCCCAGGAGGAGAGCGCGTGGAACGGATCTTTGGAACCACTTAAGCATAGGACGGCACCGTGGCGAGAATTGCCGAGAGGATGAAATGTCCGAATGCATGAAAAGCATTTAACACTGTGCTCGGTATTTAGAAAGGCATTTTTTCTTTTTCATTTATTTTTGTTTTTGTTTTCTTTTAGGGGGCCTTTTTCTTTTTAAATGTTATATTTTTAAAATCTACTTTCTATTTATTTTTTATTCTGCAATTCTGCAAAGTAGAATTCCTTGTATTTCCCAGCACTGTAATGCAGTACTTTTTTTATTATGACAAACTTCAAACATACACAAAGGTAGAGAGATTAGTAAAATAAATCCATGATCCTTCTCCCCCTCCAAGTGCCCATCACCCAGAATAAGAGTTCCGTAAATATTATTGCTTTGCTTTTTTCCTTGCACCCTCCAGGATCCGACATTTCCGTTCCCTGCCACCCAAGCGCCATGAGGGGCCTTCTTTGCTCGCCACTGCCCATGTTGCTGTTTCTTCTTCAGCCCTGGGAAACCCAGCTCCAGTTTGCAGGTGAGTGGGGCTCAGCCCTCACCAACAGGGGGAAGGGAGCAAAAGCTGGTTCTCCGTCTGCAGCCAGCTAGGTCTGCTGGGGAGAGAAAAAGCAAAGGCTCTGAAATCATAAAGGGGCGGGGTTCTAGTTCACAGCTTCCCCTCTCTGGGACTCAGTTTCCTTATCTGTAGGATGTGGCTTAGAGGTGACAAAGTTGGGCTCATGCAAAACCGCCCATTTGGTGTTTAATTTTAAAAAGTTAATTGAAAAATCAGGAGACTTCACATACAATTCCCGATTTGGGACTTCTCTTGAAAAATCCAAAGATCTGTTAACTTGGGGTCCACATGGCTGCATGGCAGCATTTGGCTGGAGGAGGGTTACAGGTGTCCGCCAGCCTAATCCAACCAGTTCACTCATTTATGTTGCCTGCCTGGTCCCCTATAGACATTTGAGTTTGCCACATCCCTTCGTCCACTCCCGAATTGGAGAATGCCTCCTCAGAATAGCCCTAAGAGCTGATAGAGAATTGGGGGAAATCTGGCCCAGGCCCTTAGCAAATGCTGGATGAGTGAATATATCTAACTCGCATTTGTTAGGTTAATTCTGTGCTAGGCGCTGTTAACGCCGGGATAGCACTATTTCGCCCTGGGTTTCCCCGGGGATCTCCTCCAAGATGAGGTTTTGCAGACCTAGGAAAGTCCTTCCTGATCTCCTCGAAGGTCCCAGGTGTCGGTCGGGGCCCCTGGATTTGGTGTTCGTGATTGACAGCTCGCGCAGCGTGCGCCCCTTTGAGTTCGAGACCATGCGGCAGTTCCTGGTGGGCCTCCTCCGCGGCCTGGACGTGGGGCCCGATGCCACGCGCGTCGGCGTGATCCAGTACTCGAGTCAAGTGCAAAGCGTCTTCCCGCTGGGCGCCTTCTCGCGCCGCGAGGATATGGAGCGCGCCATCCGCGCGCTGGTGCCGCTAGCTCAAGGCACCATGACGGGGCTGGCAATCCAGTACGCCATGAACGTGGCCTTCAGTGTGGCCGAGGGCGCGCGCCCCCCGCAGGCGCGCGTGCCGCGCATCGCTGTCATCGTGACCGACGGGCGGCCCCAGGATCGCGTGGCTGAGGTGGCGGCGCAGGCGCGCGCCCGCGGCATCGAGATCTACGCAGTGGGGGTGCAGCGCGCCGACGTGGGCTCCCTGCGGGCCATGGCGTCTCCCCCGCTGGACGAGCACGTCTTCCTCGTTGAGTCCTTCGATCTTATCCAGGAGTTTGGCCTGCAGTTCCAGGGCCGGCTCTGTGGTGAGTTAGGGGAGCGCTGGAGCGAGGCGCGGACCCCGCAGCCGCTTAGACGCCCCTTCCCACCTCGTAAATAACATCCGGTCCCGGGAGGCCCCGCCCACTCTAGCGCTAGCCCCGCCCGCCAGATGGTGGAGCGGCGCTGGGCTCCCTCAGGCTGTGTCAAATTCCAGCTCTGCCCACTTTTGCTTAGGCTTCGCCCCCAAGAAGCAGCATTTAGCGTGCCTGCTCACCCGGATGAGCTGTTGTGGTTTACCACAGGCCTAAGGTCAAACTCCAAAATCGCCCCTCGACACAGAAAGCACCGCCTTTCAAAGCTGAGAGCAACGGCCCGCCCGAAAGAGTCATGACCCGCCCACATGGGCATGGCCCCGCCCACCCTCCTTTTAGCTCCTCCCACAGTGCTGCAGGTCTGTTCTAGTCACACCTTGATTCCCCCCACCTTGATTTAGTACCTCTCCACCTCCTCTACCTTACCCCTGTGCATTCCCGCCCTATCCCATTGACGCATCTAGCCCGGTGACCCCTTCTGAGCCTATTCGTAGGAGCTACTCAGGCCCTATTCTTTCCCTAAGCCCTCCCATCTGGATTGGCCCTCTCAAATGAGGCTTGTCCCCTCTAAAGCTGTCTTCAAGCTTGGTGCCTGCCTCTGACCCCACCCAGCATTTTCTTGTTGGAGGGTTCTGCCCATCTGTCCCTCGCTGATTCTACTGTTGTGTGTCCTCAGGAAAGGACCTGTGTACTGAGGGGGGACACGGCTGCCAGCACCAATGTGTCAGCGCCCCAGGCACGTTCCACTGTGCCTGCAACCCTGGCTACCAGCTAGCTGCAGATAACAAGAGCTGTTTGGGTGAGAGCTGCCCCTGCCCTGCAGTCTCACTGCTCCTGAGTCTTCTGTGGCTCCCCATTGCCCCAGCATCAGACCAATGAGTCTGGAAGGGCTTTTGGAAGTAAAAGTTCAGCGCCCTTACTTTATGGGTCTAAGAAAGGGAAGGTATTGCCTGCAGCCAAACAATTCCTTGGTGAAATCTTGACTCCTAAGGTTAAGGGTGCTTTCTACATCATTGTCTCCCTTATTTCAGGCTTGCCTCCTACCTGGCTACAATATGCCTCCCAAACTTGTTTATGAATTCTCGCGTACATATCTTCTTACTGTTTCTGTTACTTAGACACTCACTGTTGGGGTCTTCAGTTAGGGTCTCCATACCCCTCCCCACCCCTCTATATACATTGCTCATTTCTGCTCCTGCATCTCAGCTCTTTCTGGACTGCCCTTGCTGCTTCTCTCTGCAAATGCTTTGAGTCCTGGTTCTTCATTTTGTCTCCTAAAAAGCTACGGCACACTATGCCTCCCGTATAAAATTGGGATTTGCTTTTTTCTGTGACTGTGTGTCCACTCCTTTGATCATGAGGCAGCTACCGTTCTCGGAGTGCTGATTTAGTATTGGACAACGCACTTGAAGCTCTCCATACATCATCTCTCAATCTCACGACAACTGGGGAAAATAAGTCATGTGTTCCCAATAATGCAGATGTCAGCTGGGGTCTTCTTATTTCTAGAACTTAGAAAAGACTGGCTTGAAGCCTCATGTGATGACCTCTGAACATTTGAATCTTTCCCCAACATCTCCGGGAATTCCCCAAGTGCTTGCATTCTATGGTCACCTCTCACTCTGAGCTTCTGCTGAATTCATTTTATGGGTCCAGTTTCTCAACCCGCACATGCTGGTCTTGTTCTATGCATATAAATCAGCCTCTTCCTTGGTTTGCACACTTATGCACACAAGGGCATGTGTGTGTTTATATGTAAGTCATGCATATGTCCATTTTACTAAAGATGGGGGTGGCCAGAGGTGTGCATTACGTCTAAGTGAAGTCAAACATACGTACACAAAAGAAACACCTACTATTAATAATTTCGTATTAGATACCCTGATCCCAAAGCCCTGTCACCCCATTAGCAGTGATTTTTCACTGGCAACCTCAGCCCACACAGGTACTCATGCTCACACTCTCTCTCTTGCGCTTCCTCTCGCCACTCCCATCTCTTCTCTAGGAACCCCAAATTCTCACTTTTTTTGTGCAAGGCAATCTGCATCTCCCCAGTCCCTATTTTCCAGCTCTGGGCTGTCTTTGCACATCTACACCATCAAGATACTCAGCAGGCGATAGTTCCCTCCTTAGAAGGAAGCTGTAAATAGCAATTGCACTCTTCCATTATATTCCCATTTTGCAGATGGGTAAACGGAGGCTCAGTAGGTAGTGGCAGAGCCTGGTTCTCCTCCATAAGTCAGTGAGCATCTTGAGGGCAGGGGACCTGTCTTCTACAACTGTTGATTCTTGTTCTTATGCCTGGCTTAGTAACGGGCACATTGGGATGCAGCTGGGCCTTGAGTCGGGAGAGCCACCTGGGCCACTAAGAAGGAGGCCTGTGCTTGTAGAAACCAGAGATGCCTGGGTCACCCAGTCAGGATCTTGGGGGGTTGGGGCCCAGGCATAGGTGTTTTTAAAAAGCTCCTCAGATGGGGGGCCTGGGTGGCTCAGATGGTTAAGCGTCTGCCTTCGGCTCAGGTCATGATCCCGGGGTCCCGGGATCAAGCCCCACATCGGGCTCCTGGCTCAGCTGGGAGCCTGCTTCTCCCTCTGCCTCTCTCTCTCTCTGTCTCTTATGAATAAATAAATAAAATCTTAAAAAAGAAAAAAAGCTCCTCAGATGATTGTTCTGTTGGGGCTGAGAAGTGCAGCCCCACCCAGGGCATACGCTGACCTCACCTCTTCCTCAGCCATTGACCTGTGCACTCAAGGGACCCATGGCTGTGAGCACCACTGCATCAGCTTCCCAGGCTCCTATTTCTGTCGCTGCCGAGCTGGCTTTGTACTCCAGCAGGACCAGAGAAGCTGCAGGGGTGAGCACCCTACCACTAGCATCCTGGACTGAGGTCCCTGATGGCTCCAATCAGAAGCGACACCTTTGCTCTCTCTCTTCCTGCCCACCAGCCATTGACCACTGCAGCTTTGGGAACCACAGCTGCCAGCATGAGTGTGTTAGCACATTTGCTGGGCCACGGTGCCACTGCAGAGAGGGCCACGACTTGCTGCCCGATGGGAAGAGCTGTGAGGGTAAGGAGGGGTCTCTTGTGTTTGTGCAGAGGGGCAAGGGATCTTGGCTGGGGGAGTCCACCCTGACTCATCCTGACTTGTCTCTCCTTGAAGCCCGGGACCTTTGCAATGGTGTAGACCATGGATGTGAGTTCCAGTGTGTGAGTGAGGGCCTCTCTTACCGCTGCCTGTGCCCCGAGGGCCAGCAACTCCAAGCAGATGGCAAGAGCTGCAACCGTGAGTGATGGCTGGGAGGGTGTTCTGTCTGGCCCTGCCCCACTGCATCCTCTGAGCATCCTCGATTCTGCCCTTGCTGTGGCCCAAGGGTACGCTGTGAATGTGTGTGTGTTGGTGATGGTGGGGCAGGGAGTGGAGGGCATGCCGTGTCCTGCCTCCATCTCTTTCCCCTTAATCCTCTACCCTGCTGCCAAGGTTAATATCAAAAGTACACATTTGATCCTATTTCTCCCTCCCTCGAGAGTCTTCTGGGCTCGCCTGTGCTTACCCCTGAGCTCAGATGCTTTACCCCTGAGTTTTTCAGATGGTGGGTGCAGCCCCATTAGTGGATAATGAAATCAAATTAGTTTTTTTTTTAGAAGATTTTATTTATTTATTCATGAGAGACAGAGAGAGAATGAGAGAGAGAGAGAGAAGCAGAGGGAGAAGCAGGCTCCCAAGGAGCAGGGAGCCCGAGGCGGGACTCGATCCCAGGACTCTGGGATCATGACCTGAGCCGAAGGCAGACGCTTAACCGTCTGAGCCACCCAGGCGCCCAGTTTTTTTTTTTTTAAAGGAGAAAACAGAACTTATTGCATGAGGAAAGAGTAAGTATTGTTTCATGAAATTCAAAATTCGAGTGTGTCATTTTGTATTATTATTGTTACCGTGGGGTGTGGTCAAAATTTTGAAACTACTGCCTCACCTCGTCTCAGCCAAGCCCGTCAGCAGGTATCCTAGCACACCTGCTCATCCTCGAGGAACAAATCAGATGTTGCCACCTCCATGTAACCTTCCTCGCCTACTCCAGGAAGGATGAATTATTCCTACCTTGGGGCTCCCTACGTGGCCCTCTCTTCGAGCACTTTCCTTGGCTGCAGCATAGGGCATGTCTGACTGCTCTGTTCTGTCCTGATTTCCTTAGGATCAGGGTTATGTTCATTTCCTGTTGAACCCCCTTCGGGGCCTAGCGAAGTCCCTGATTCAGAACGGGGGAGGGAACATTGTAGAGCGATTCAGGAGCATGGGTTTTGGGGTCAGACAGACCTGGCTTCAAATCCTGCTTGGCCACTGCAGAGAGGGCCACGGTGCCACTGCAGAGAGGAGTGGAGTCTGGAGCCAATCACCTTGTGCTTCAGAACCGAAGGTTATATGAACTGGGGATAATACCCAAGATTATTGGGAGGATTGAGAAAAAATATATGAAGCACCTAGCCCAGGACCTGGCACATGGTAAGCCGTCAAATAATAATGTTTTTGTTTTTATTTATTTATTTTTTTTATTTTTTATTTTTTTTAATAAAGATTTTATTTATTTATTTGAGAGAGAGAGAATGAGAGACAGGGAGCATGAGAGGGAGGAGGGTCAGAGGGAGAAGCAGACTCCCCGCCGAGCAGGGAGCCCGATGTGGGACTCGATCCCGGGACTCCAGGATCATGACCTGAGCCGAAGGCAGTCGCCCAACCGACTGAGCCACCCAGGCGCCCTTGTTTTTATTTATTATTGTGACTGTTTATATATTAGCAACAAATACTTTTTCAGTATATTATGGTTGATACATTTATTATTGTCATAAAGTTTTATTAACTTATTACTATTACTACTATTATCTAGTACAGTGCCTGGCACAGGAAGGACTACACGCACGGTACCTGTTACGCAATAAATGTGAATGCCCCGGTGGGGAGATGGTTGCCGCCAGGCCAGGATCTGGCGCCCACTCGAAGCTCCCCTCACTACGCAGGGTGCCGGGAAGGCCACGTGGACCTGGTTCTGCTCGTCGATGGCTCCAAGAGCGTGCGCCCGCAGAACTTCGAGCTGGCGAAGCGCTTTGTGAACCAGATCGTGGACTTCCTGGACGTGTCCCCCGAGGGCACGCGCGTGGGGCTGGTGCAGTTCTCGAGCCGCGTGCGCACCGAGTTCCCGCTGGGCCGCTATGGCACGGCGGCCGAGGTCAAGCAGGCGGTCCTGGCCGTGGAATACATGGAGCGCGGTACCATGACAGGGCTGGCGCTGCGCCACATGGTGGAGCACAGCTTCTCCGAGGCGCAAGGCGCACGGCCCCGCGCCCTCAATGTGCCTCGCGTGGGCCTGGTCTTCACCGACGGCCGCTCCCAGGATGACATCTCGGTGTGGGCCGCGCGCGCCAAGGAGGAAGGTGGGCTTGGCGCGGGATGCACCAGCCTGGGGTTGGGTTGGACGCCGGAGGGGGTCTTCACTGAGGTCTGGGGCGCCCCCTGTGTCCCCCCCCCCGCCCCCGCCCTCCGCCCTCCGCCCTCTGCCTTGTAGGCATCGTCATGTACGCCGTGGGCGTGGGCAAGGCGGTGGAGGAGGAGCTGCGCCAGATCGCCTCCGAGCCCGCGGAGCTGCATGTGTCCTACTCCCCTGACTTTGGCACCATGACGCACCTGCTGGAGAACCTCAGAGGCAGCATCTGCCCGGGTGAGCGCATCTGACTTCGCTCAGGGCCCAGCCGCCGAGCTTTCCCCCTTCTATCCAACCCTATCCCCTTGGTAGAGTTATAGCCAGGGGTTGGACTCACTACACAGAGCCTTGTTACTCAAAGTGTGGTCCGTGGACCAGCAGCAGAGCCTTGTTAGAACTGCAGGCATTTCCAGAGCTCTCCAGACCGAATGAATCAGATTCTGTACTTTACCAAGACCCTGGGGTGATTCCCAAGAACGTCAAAGTTAAGCACTAGACTGGGCTGGCTACCTGCCCCTCAAATTAGTGGGTGTTCACAGTAATTGGAGGAACTTTTTCAAAGGCATGCCAAACTCCTTGCTAGCAGAGTTACATCACATATTCCTTTAACGTGTTAGAATTCAACTACACAGACCTGGCAAAGTGGCAGGACTGAGAGTGTTCCAAGTATGCAGACATGTATTTTTTTTTTTTTTTTACAATATCACCCATAAATTTAATCCATCCACTTCATCTGGTGCTCAGTTGAAGAAGAAGGGACCAACTCTATCTGTGAAGGAGAAGTGGGCTGTACTTTATAGGTCATATAGGGAACTTCTCGGGGGTAATTTTCACCGCAGAGTCTTTAGACTCTAACCCAGGTCAGAGATGTGACTCTTTCACATTACCAGGCCCTCCAGGGCTAGGTTCAGTAGAGCAGGGCTGGCCCAGAGAATCTATAGTTTAAAAAAAATAGTTTTAAAATATATATGTGTGTGTATACATGTGTGTATCTACACACAGGATACATACATACACATACACACCTACCTACCTCTCCCCGCCCCCCCCCAGGCTAACTCTAATAATTAGCTAGGATATTACGGGGGCACTGGATTTGCTACTCTGTCAGGGCCCTTCCTGTCCTGACTCTTATGTCCCCTGAAGTGTGACTTTGGGCAAGTCACTTAACCTCCACCCTTACCATAACTTCTCTCTTCTGTAACAGGGGAGGGTGCTGGCTGCCCAAGCTTGCTTCCAGCTCTAAAATTCCTAGAGAAATCTGGGCTCTGTGGTTGAGGCTCTTCACCAATCAGCTCTATGACTTTGGGCAGAACTTTCCCTTTCTCTGGCCCTTGGTTTCCCCAGCTGTGAAGTTAGGAGTCTTTGTAGGACTGTTATCAAGACCATTGATGACATATCATACAGCAATTTGCTAAGGGTCCACCGAGACTAAGAAATCACTCTTAAATTGTAAGAGCAACTCTTTTGTGAAGGCCAAGCACCAGGTATTGTGCTGTTATATGAAAAAGGGCACATGTTTACAAAATTTTGGTGAATCTAAGATACCATCCATTGTAAGACTATCCATTATTATTTACTGCTAAGAAAAAATAGGTGCTGAATTTAATTGTAAGGCACATTTCAGAAATGTGATTGATTTCAGAAATGCTAGAATGTGTGTGGAGGTAGACTTGGATCAGTGGTTTTTTGTTTGTTTGTACCAGTGGTTTTTAAACATCAGTGTGCATCAGATTCACCCAGAGGGTTTGTTAAAACACCATTTGCTGGGCTCCAACCCCAGAGTTTCTGATTCAGTAGGTCTGAGCTTGAGTCTAATAATTTGCATTTCTTTTTTTTTTTTAAGATTTTATTTTTATTTATTTATTTGAGAGAGAGAATGAGATAGAGAGAGCATGAGATAGGAGAGGGTCAGAGGGAGAAGCAGGCTCCCCGCTGAGCAGGGAGCCCAATGCGGGACTCGATCCCGGGACTCCAGGATCATGACCTGAGCCGAAGGCAGTCGCTTAACCAACTGAGCCACCCAGGCGCCCCAATAATTTGCATTTCTAATAACTTCCTAAGTGATAGTGCTGGTGCTGGTCCAGGGACCACACTTTGAGAATTCCTGGTCTAATTGAAATACACAATAAAGTGTACACTTGAGCTAGGTAGTACACTAGATCTTCCCTCTCTAATAAGGTATATGTGCCCACTGACTTTAAATTACTTTTAAAAAGTTAAAAATTTTAGTTCTTTAATCGCATTAGCCACATTTCAAATGTTAAATAGCTGCATGTGGCTTGTGTGTTTGGCACTGGGCAGACCAGAAACAGAATATTGCCATCAATGCCTGAAGTCTCATTTGGAGAGTGCTGCTGTCATTTGGACCCTTGCTTCTCAAAGTGTGGTCCACAGACCAGCAGCGTCAGCATCACTTGGTGCTTATTAGAAATGTGGAGTCTCAGCTCCTTCACCGTTCAGAATCAGAATCTATATTTTAACAAGATCTGGTGATTCCAGTGAGCACTAAGGTTTGAGAAATACTCTTCTAAGATGTGTACACACACTCACATCCCCCATAGAATCCTCAGCACCACCCAATGAATAGCTTTTCTCACTGTATCCGTTTTTACAGACAAGGAAACTCAGGCTTAGAAAGGTTGAGTGAGTTTTGCAGTATCTCACAGCGACCTAGCTGGTATTCATCCCAGGTCTGTTTGAATGCGAAGCCCATATGCTCAGCCACAGGCGGGTGGAGGGGCGGAGGGCCTTGCCAGGGCCGGCTCGCCCTGCTGCAGATTCTCATTCCCCTGACTCTCTGCGCCCGGCTGGCAGAGGAGGGCATCGGCCCAGGTACAGAGCTTCGGAGCCCGTGCGAATGCGAAAGCCTCGTGGAGTTCCAGGGCCGCACGCTGGGGGCGCTCGAGAGGCTGACGCAGAACCATATCCTTTGGGCCCCGGGGCCCGGGGGCCCGGGCTGCGGGGGGCAGGGTGTAGGAACCCCCGAGACCCCCAGCGGCCTCCTTAACCGCTCACTGGCCCAGCTGACGGCGCGCCTGGAGGATCTGGAGAACCAGCTGGCCACCCAGAAGTGAGGGCCGCCAGGGCCGGGAGCCGGGCAGGGGCGCGGCCCCGCGGACTGTGCCCTCGGGGCGCCGTCGAGGCGCCGGGGCCGGGCAGCTCCGGGGCCCCGAGGACTTGGGCTGTCGGGGAGGGGGCGCTGGCGGGCTCCCAGCGCTGCGCTCGAGCTGGCCTCGCCTGGACCAGAAGCCGGACTGCGGGGGACCGAGGGGCGCGCTAGGTCCGCACGCCCTCGCTGCGTGCTGCGCTCATTCTTTGTTGGATTTCCTTTTTGTTTTCTTTTTCTTAAAAAAAGTTTTCTTTTTCTTTTCTTTTTTTTTTTTTTTTTGGTTTCCACGGGGTCGGTTTGTGGGTCTTGCTGTGCCGCCAGGGGGAGGGGAGGCCAGACGCCGGTAGGTCCGGCGGCGTCCGGACGGCGGCTCCTCGGAGAAAGGCGCATTGTGCGGGGGTCGGGCTGGGGGGCAGGGGGCCGGGCGCTGCTTTCCCCCCTTGTTTATTCAGCCGCGAACAGACGGCTCCTTATGCGGGCTGCGGGAAGGGAGGGGGCTCAGCGCGAACCCTCCGGGTTTGAGCAAGACTGCGCCCCTCCATCCCCCAGCGGATGGAGCGCTTCGCTCTCTGGCCGTGCCTATCTCGTGGTGCCCCCCAGATCGGGCTGAAAAGCTGCTAGAACTGGGATGGGGAGTTGATGAGAAAGCGAGAGACAGTCATGAACCCCTAAATGGACGGGGTTGGGGCGGATAGGTGAGTGTCGCTTGGATTTTATCTCCCTCCTGCGCTACGAAGGAAGAAGAGGAGGCCAGGATTTGTGGCCAGCGCTGCCGCTCAGGCTGTGACCCACCCTCTTCATCCCCCGCACCCGCCAAAACAAAAGCAAAAGCAAAAGCCAACCCTCTATCAGGAAAGAGCCCAAGTGCATGTAAGAAATTGCTAAGATTAAAATACTCAGTTTCTCCAGATTTTGGCCGATTACTCTGGATTTGTTTCTTTATCTGTAAAATGGGGATTGAAACTGTTACCCCCAAGTGTGATGGTGAGAATGGAGAAAGTTATTCCAAGGCATCTGAACTGTGCCTGGTACTTATTAGGCCCTCAATGAATGGTAGCTATTAATCTTATAATAATAGTTAACGTATTTTGTCTTGGGCGTTACTCTTTCACATTACCAGGCCCTCCAGGGCTGGTGTTTTCATTTTATCCTCAGACAACCTTATGAGGTAGGAATTATCGCCTTTCTCATCCCCATTTCACAGGGAGGAAACTGAGGCATAGAGAGGTTAAGTAAGTGTCCCAAGATCACAGAACCAGTAAGAAGCGGAACCAGGGTATATTAGTTTCCTAGGGCTGCTGGGGCAAATTGTCACAAATTCAGTGGCTTTACACGACACACATTCATTACCTTATAGTTCTGGAGGTCAGAAGTCCAAGAAAAGGGGTTGGCAGGGCTTCACTTCTTCCGAAAGCTTCTGTTTTCTTGCCTTTTCCAGCTCCCAGAGGCTACCCAATTTCCTTGGTTTGTGGCCTGGTGTCACCTCCACCTCTCCTTCTGGCATCACACCTCCTTCTGTGACTCTGACCTTCCTGTCTCCATTTTACAAAGACGCTTGTGATTATACTGGGCTGACCCAGATAATCCACGCTAATCTCCCCATCTCAATCTCTGACTTCATCACAGCTGCAAAATCCCTTTGCCACATAAGGTGACATATTCACATGTTCCAGAGATTAGAGCATGGACCTCTTTGCGGGGGGGGGGGGGGGGCGTTATTGTGCCTACACACAGGTCTGAAACCCCACAGCCTGACCTCAGAGCAGACCTCTGAAGCACGTCTATGCCTGGCACCTTGCTAAGCTTGAAGAGGGAGAAACAGAATTGAGAAAAGCCCACGGTGGGGGAGGGGGGCGGGTAGCTCAGGGCTGAGGGGGTGAGGTGCACCTGACTATTGCTGCAGCAGAAGGAGGGAGGTGAGAAGGTGGAACAGGTGGGTAAGGGCAGGGAAGCAGGGAGAGATCCTGGAGGAGGAGACCAGGAGCCCAGACCTAGTCCATGGCTGGAGTTCCTGCTGGGCATGAATGTGTGTGGTCAGGAGTGACTGGAGTGTGGGGGAGCAGGAAGACTGAGATCTTCCCCACACAGGAGCGGCAGGTGAGCTCAAGTGCTAAGCACAGTGCCTGGCATGTTACCTCATCGGCACATCAGGCCTGGAGGACAGAATTGCCTGCCCAGGGTCACGCAGTGAGGGAACCCCAGCCGGGTGAGGCAGCGGCCTGGGGAGTCTGATTAGGAGCGAGTCCTCAACTGATGAGGGGAGCACTTCGGGCAAAGGGCGGCTCCCTCCTTCCCTCCTGCCCAGAACTGGCCAGGACCACCTTCTCTGGCTTTTCCTTCCTCGCCAGTTCTTTCCTCTTGCAGTCTCCCTAGTGGCCACTGGATGGCGCCCGGAGCTCTGACTTGGAGGTGGGTCCCAGAGCGCTAATAGGCTCTTGGCACCTGGCGCTTGGACTAATGAACCAGGTCTGCTCTTCTCCATAAGATTCTCCTTTCCTTTGAGACCCCTTCCCCGCTCTGGGAGACCCACAACCCCAGCCTAGAAGCTGCTTCTGTTCCGTAGGCACTGGCCATACACTCCTGGATTTGTGGACCAGCCCTGCTACTCACCAGCTGTGTGTCAGGTGTTGACAGCTGCTGGTTCCCCCGTCCATCTCCCAACTTGCCCTCTCTCTCATTTCCCTTTCCTCTTATCCCCTTTAACCTCTGGATAAGAAAGAATGTCCCACGGATGGATAGCTAGCCCTTGCTTCTTTGTTTGCACCCTCCTCCTTCAAAGGATAGAAGACTTACAAAGGGCTCATCGGTTCAGCAAAACAAATATCCATTAACCCAAGAACAGAAAATCAGAATCTAAGTAACAGTGGAGGAAGAGTAACACAGCCAAGCAAGCTTAGGTGGCTGAACAGACACTGGTCTTCAGGAGAGGAGCCCGAACAGACACTGGTCTTCCTTGAGTCCAGGCAAGCAGGGAGGTTTTTATGTGGCTCTCAGAATCTGGTAAGTCTGGCCACAGGGCAATTATGTTTTGGGGGACTCTTGAGCCCAGGTATCCTGGAGGGAACTCAGAGCCCTCAGCCTTCTTGGTTCCCTGCAGATTTGAATATTTAAAAAGGACAGCATCTTCTGCAGTGGTTGACCGAGAGGTCACTCATGGAGCTGTTTCTTATCCTTGGTAATGAGCACTAGACCTGGTCTCGGATGGGAAAGCCAAGGGCAGGAAGGGCAGCAGCCTCAGCCAGTCATTCTGACACCTTTCTGAATTCCACCCTTCTCTGTTTCTCCATGATTTTTGGTATTTCTATCTTTCTATTCTAGCTCAAAGCTCTTCTCAGTTTCTCCAGTTAGCAAAGCTGCTCTCTCCAAGAGATATCTACCCTTCTGGGTCTTTGGACCCAAGATAGCGAGAAAAGGGAAAGGAGAGAATTATCAATCACAAAACACCTACAATGTGCCAGGGACCATGCTATGCCTTGCACCTGCACCATCTTGTTTAAACCCCACAACCTACAGAAGGGAAAACAGGTTCGAAGTGTCCAGTTGTCAAGTTCACAGAGCTTCAGAGCTAGGATTTGAACCCAAGTGTCCCTGATCCCAGAGTGTGCCCACTCACATTTCTACCCTTCAAGTCATTGGGGACAAAGCTGAACTTTTTCAAATAAACTTTTACTGGGAAACTTACAAGGCAGGCCAAAGCAAAGCCCAAGGTATGGAAGGGAAGAGGGGGCGGGATGGTGGTTCTTTGTTGAGGGGTATCCAAGCACATTTAAAACTCCCAGGTTGGTGAGTCACTGTTCTTCCTGCTCTTCGCCCTGCCCTGGGCAGCCCCCTCTCTACCTGCTCCCACATCCTGCTCTGCCTTTCCCACGTCCAGGGAGAGTCTTTTTCTGAAGTGAATAAAACCTTCCGCTGCCCCCCTGGGACTCCCCCTGCCCCCACCAGGGGGCCCAAGGCAGGTGAAGTTCTCCCCTGCGGCTGAGCTGGGGGTGGGGAGTCGTGGAGGGAACTAGCAGAGGAAAGACCAGTGCCATCATACAACATGCGGAGGACAGTCAGGTCTGTTTTCTCCCAGATGAACAAGAGAATCTCAGGGTGGCCTCTGTCCTCTGATAGAGGACAACTAATCCTAATCTTGGCAGGTGCTCAAAAAATACCTTCCCAGTGAGTATTTCTTGAATGTCTAGTTCAGAGATATGTCAGCTATTACACTAGGCACTGGGGATGCAATGGTAAAAAAGAGGATCGTACTCCTTGTCTTCAATTTATGTTCTAGGAGGGGAAGGCAGACAACAAATAAGTAAATGAATAAAGGTTCAAATAGTGATAAATACTAAGAAGATAATAAAATAAAGGTATGAGCAGTGCTGTCCAGTAGAATTTCCATGAAATGTTCTATATCTGCATTGTCCAGTGCTCGCTTCGGCAGCACGTATATATCTGCACTGTCCAATATTAGTAGCCAGCATGTGGCTACTGAGCACTTGAAACGTGGCTCGTGTGGCTGAGGAACTGAATTTTAAATATTGTCTTCATTAGTTAATTAATTAATTACAAGTTAAACAGCCCCATGTGGTTATTGGTTACTGTATGGGGCAGCGCAGGGAGGGAGAGAGGGGAGGGCTTCGGAAGGGGTGGTGAAAGGAGACTGCTCCAGGTGGTCATCTTTGAGCTGAGGTCCGAGTGAGGAGAAGGGGGCCAGCCTTGCAGTGTTCCGGGGCGAGAGTGTAAATGCTGGGCTGCAGGTGAACCAGCCCGGTGACCCCAGCACCAAGGAAAGAAGGCCCCAGGGCTGGAACTTGGTGGCCAGGACAGCGGGGTGGGAGTTGAAGGTGGGGAGAGAGATGCCCCGCGAGGGGAGGGGAGCTGGGCTGCGCCAGCGCTGGATGTGCTCCTGGAGGCCCTGCTCCGTCCGCACCTCTGCGGCCCCTCCCTTGCCTGCCGCCTTCTCTCTCAGGGGAGGGGACGATCCGATGAGATGAGGTGACGGGGTGACGTTCAAATGCTTTCTAAACTTAAAATGCTGCCCACGAGAGAAGGATAGAGTTCTGGTTCTAAGTGTGGTCCCAGGCTCAGCATCACCTGGGAGCTTGTAGGAATGCATATTCTCAGGTCCCACCTTAGATCTATTGCTTCACCGCTCTGAGAGTGGGCCCCACAATCGGCGTTTCCACAGTACCCCCCCACCGCCCCGGGGCAGTGACCTGCACCCAAGAGTGATGGCTTTCAATTCCTCTTCCTCAGCCTCCTTCACGCCTCCTCCCACATATCCCCCCACAGTGTCCCCAGCCCCCAGCCCTGACAGAGCTCACCGTCCTCCAGAGCCTCCTCCCCCCAGGACGGGCTCCGCTTTTAGCTCCACATACACAGATTTTTAAAAAAACAATTGGTAAATAAATTCTTTGTATTAAAAAAAATTTTTTTTGTAATTATAAAAGTAATTCAGGCTCATTGCTTAAATAAAACTTGAATAACACAGAGAGTATCAAGTGGAAAAAAAAAAAATCCCCTGGCTCTCCTAATCCCATTCCCCGGAGGTAACCACGGGACAATGGTTCCTTGTGATTCTTTCCAGACATTTCCTGTGCTCCCGGAGGCAACCTGTGCAGGGCTCTGAAGCCAGTGTGCTTGGTTTAGAATCCTAACTTTGTTTCTTGTTTGCCGAATGTGTTGGACCAGTTGTCTTAGTTTCCTCATTCATAAAATGGAGTTAATAATAGTATGACCGTCGTAGAGTTGTCTTGAGGATTAAATAAATTAATTCAAGTAAACTTTTCAGTGCTCGGCATCCAGGCAGCACTGTATACGTGATTTCAGTATGTATTTTTATAAACTTCTTTTGATTTATTTTTATTTTTTTCAAGCCAAACTGTATCCAGCTTTATTAAAGATACTTTTCATAGGCAATCATGT